TTCAGTGGAGTTTCCAGACTAAAACAGACTAACCAAAAAAAACCAAACCCACTGCTGTCAAGTTGGATCTGACTCATAGTGACCCCTCCTTGGGGTTCCAAGACAGCATCATTACGGAAGTAGATTACCCCATCTTCCTTCTGAGGAGTGGCTGGTGGGTTTGAGCTGCCAGCCTTCTGGTTAGCAGTCAAATGCTTTAGGCACTACACTACCAAGACAGACTAGGAAGAACATTTTTTTTTCTGAAAAAAATTGGCCACTGAAAACTTTATCAATAGCAGTGAAACACTGTCTGATATGTGAGTGCAAAACTGTGAATAGCAATGAAACATTGTCAATGATGGGCTCAAGCCTAGCAAAGATTGTGAGGATGGTAAAGAACTGGGCAGTGTTTCATTGTGTTGTACATAGGGTTGCTATGAGTCAGAGCTAACTCAATGGCACCTAACAATAACAACAATGCACTGTGGTCAGGGCTGTCATTATTAGTCAACTACAGTGATGCTTCAAACCACTGTAGATGTTTCATCTTCATGTACTACAAGCACGCGGTGGTGTTTGATTGCTGCTAGTATTTTAATAGTCACTAATTTTGTCAAATTTTCTGGTGTTTTAGCTACAATCTTGTGGTCTGGTAAGGGAGTAAGTCCATGGAGGAGGGCACCATGAGTTACCACACTGGATGACATCAACCCTAGTGATGCCATTGTGTTGTACCTCTTCAGGGACTGGTCCCTTTTGATAACACATCCAACGAATATGAGATGAAATCTCACCATCCTCACCAATCAGGAGGATTCTGGCTGCACTTCCTCCAAGACAGATTTATTCATTCTTTGGGCAGTCCATGGTATATTCAATATTTTTCACTGACACCACAATTCAAGTGCATCAATTCTTCTTTGGCTTTCCTTATTCATTGTCCTGCTTTCACATACATACGAAATGATTGAAAATACCATAGCTTGGGTCAGGTGCACCTTAGTCCTCAAAGTGACATCTTTGCTTTTGAACACTTTAAACAGAACTTTGCAGCAGATTTGTCCAGCATAGTATGTGGTTTGATTTCTTATCTCCTGCTTTCATGGGCATTGATTGTGAATCCAAGTAAAATGAAATCCTTGACCACCTCAATATTTTCCCCATTAATCATGATGTTGCTTATTGGTCCAATTGTGAGAATTTTTGTTTTCTTTATGGTGAGATGTAATCCATACTGAAGGCTATAGTCTTTGATCTTTATCAGTAAGTGCTTCAAGTCTTCTTTATTTTCAGGAAGCAAGCTTGTGCCATCTGCATATTGCAGGTTTTTAATGAGTCTTCTTACAATCCTGATGCAGCATTCTTCTTCATACAGTCCAGTCTCTTGGATTATTTTCTCAGGACACAGATTAGGTAAGTACTCAGTGAATGAAAGAATCCAACTCTGGTGCAGACACTTCTTGATTTTAAACCATGCCTCTTGTTCTATGTATAAGTTCTGCATGAGAACCGTTAAGTGTTCTGAATATTATTTGTCTCTTCACTTTGTTGATAAGGTTCTTTGATATACAAAAGTTTTTAATTTTGATGAAATTAAAATATTTTGTCTTTTGTTGCTTGTACTTTTGGTGTCATATCTAGGAATCTATTGTTAAAAACTAGGTTCTAAAGCATCATCCTTCCTGTGTTCCCCTACCAGAGGTTATTTATTTATTTGTTGTCTACCTCTGCTAATAGACTAAAAGCTACAAGGGCAGAGACTTTGCTTTTTTCACTCTTATATCCCATAAGAACATAGTACATGCTCAGTAAGTACTTATTGAATGATTGAATGAATGAATATGATAAAATATTGGAGTTTTTTTGGGTAAGGTTAAATATACCCATTGCCATCAAATTGATTTTGACTCCTAGTGACCCACATTGGGTTTCTAAGGCTGTAAATCTTTACAGAAGCAGATTCCTTCATCTTTCTCCTGCAGAGTAGCTGGGGGGTTTGAACCATTGACATTCTGGTTAGCAGCCAAATACCTTCCAAGGCTAAATATAATTGCCTAAATTTCCAATAAATGCAACCAGGATTATATATGCGCCAGGCACATAATAGGTTTTCATTTTGCTTCATTTTATTCTTACAACATTCCTTTGACACACAGAAACTGAGTCAGTTTGCCCAGGGTCACACAGTAAGTGGTGAAGCTGAGATAGTAGTGCCCCAGAGCTCATGCTTGTAACAACAGACAATATGGAGTCTAGAGTCTTTTAGTATATAAACTAATTAAGGAATAAGATCTCATTTTTCTCCCAGAACAGTCCATCTCAGAGTATTTGATTTGGCTTGTGGGAGGGTCACCACAGGCCAACTCAACTTCCCCTGGGCACAGAAGGGATGACTCAGGCCATGTGCACTGGTGGCTGGGCTGGTTTGTGTTTCCTCCAAGCGTTGCTTGCTTTGCTTCTGCCTTGTACATAATGCGGCTGGATTTGAATTATGAGAGTTATTGTGTCAGGCCGGTGCTAACATGATTTGCAATAAAGACGCTGTCTAAATTGGAAGTAATTTTCCCCAGAGTGTAAGGAATATATTGCTCATCAGAAGGTCCAGAAAATCCAGCATTAAGGATTTATCAGCACCCTTTGTAAGGCAAAGCAGATGTCTGTATTCTGGGCTTGATTTGAGAAGCAAGTGAATCCCGTCACTTACCTGCTTAAAAACAAGGTAGATTTTGAAGGCTAAAGTGACAAAAAAAAAAAAAAAAAAAGTTTCAGTTTGTAGTTGCAAGATAATTTCTACCCAATATAGGAATGTGAGTTGATTTTAAACTTTAAAGTCAGATACACTCATCACCTATCATATATCTTTCACCAGAACAAAGCTGTTTCTTCTCCACTGGGCCGCTGGATGAAGCAGAGGCAAAGCAAACAGGTAACTCTTCTCCTTTGAGAATTTCTATAAGTGTCTGAAAAAACATCAATAGCTCTGGAGTCCACAATAACCTGCTTGTAACTTACTTTGATCTGATGACTTTCAAAGGGGTTTAGAACTGATTGGATGGACTCTCTGTGTCTTGCAACATAAAAGGACTGTTCCCAAATTAAAGAAACAAAAAGTTTAAACATTTAGACCAAAAAATCAAATAGTTAAAGTTTTTAAATCACAATAGTATTTCATTGGCAGCATTTTTATAATGTTTAAACTTACAGATCTCAAAGAACTCACTTCCTGACTTTTTTCAGGTCTCTGGTCAGATCAATGTCACTTTATTAGAGAGGTCTTTCTTACTACTGAATATAAATACTAACTTTCTTCTGCCCTGCCCACACCAATATGTCCTAGTCCACTCACCCTGGTTTATCTTTCTCCATAGCACTTACCAGCACTGGATAAATATATTGCAGGTTATTCATTTCTCCCCACTAAAATAAAAGCTCCACGAGGGCAGGGGCTTTGTTTTGTTCACTACTCTATTGCCAGCATCTAGAACAGTTCTTGGGGCATAGAAGATATCCATAAATATTTATGGAATGGCTGAATAAATAAATTATGCTGATATTCAAGCTACAGAGTCTAAAGGTTTCTATTTTATTTATCCTTTTTCCTTATCTCTTGTTGAGTGTAACACATTTGTGAAGTTATAGCACTCCTCACATATGGCCGAGTTTTCTTTGATTTTGGCAATACTTTGTATTGTCCAATGCCTTCAGCATTAGAATGTGCAACATTTGTTCTTTTCTTAGCACTGTCAATATCCTTTATTATTTTCACTTTTGTTTCCAAGGTAAGGATGCTCCTCTACTTAATAATCTTAGTAAATCTTAGTAAATTACTCCAGCATAGCAAATGCACTCTAACAACATGGCAGAGGGAAAAATGAGTGATAATTCCTGTGTTACTTGAGGAGTTATTTGAGGACACTTTGACTCTGGAGTTCAGCCTTGTTTTTCTGTAAAAGTTTATAAATTGAAAATTCTTAGGTAGAGGAGCTTCTGTCCTCCCAGCTATTGCACCGTGTTCCAAAATTCAGTGGTTTGAACTCACCTGTGGCTCCGTGGGAGAAAAGACCTGGAGATCTGCTTCTGCCTGTAAAGATTACAGCCCAGAGAACTTTGTTGGGTGGGTGGGAGGTGTTGCTACTCTGTCCTATACGGTCATTATGAGTCTGCACAACCACAGCAACAAGACACCATTTTCATATCACAGGTCTTCTTAGTGAGCCTCCCAAAGGCCTCCCTAACACTTGCTTCTTCCCTTTGCTCCTGCTGTTCCCTCTGCTTGGAATGGACTCTCACTTGTCCAGTTCAAGCTCCTCACCTCTGGGAAGCCTCCCTTCACTACTCTAACCCACAGCACAGTGCCCTTTGATTATTTCCTCTGTACTGATCTCTTTTTTCAGAATTTTTATTGTGATTTGGGTGAAAGTTTACAGAGCAAATTCATTTTCCATATAGTAGTTCATATACATTTTGTTTCATGACATTGACTGCAATACCCCATAATGTAACAGCTCACTTCCCATTTCCTCCCTATAGTTATCTCTTCCCTATATCCTTCCCTCCCATGCACTTCTATCCCCTGAGCTATCTACCTCTGCAAACACTTCCCTTCTATTCTGTTCTCTCACAATTGATTGATTGCTCCAAGGAGTGTATCTACCTGAGGTACATGTTCACCCCATATGCCTGTCTTTTGTTTGGCTGGAAGCCACAGGAGTGAGTTCAGTTCCAGACCTGAAGGGTAACTAGGGGCCATAGTCTTGGGGGAGGGTCTCACTATGCTCTATCAGATCAGTAAACCTAGTCTTTTTTTCCTTTTTTTATGATTTTGAGTTTTGTTCCATATTGTTCTCCCACTCTATCCAGGATCTTCTGCACTGATCCCTTTCCGATGGTTGACAGTGGTAGCCAGGCACCATCTAGTTCTTCTGTTCTCATGGTCATATAGGCTGAGGTTAGTCCCTTGGACTAATTGTTTCTGTACATCTTTGGTTTTCTTCATTCTTCTTTGCTCTGGATGAGGAGAGACCCATTGTTGCATCTAGATGACTGCTTGCAAGCTTTTAAGACTCCAGTCACTACTCACCAAAGTAGGATGTAGAACAATGTTTTTGTGTAATATGTAATGCCAATTGAGCTTGATGTCTCCTGTGACCACAGTCCCAAACCCACACGTCCAACATCTCATTCCATCAGAATGGTTGGCTATGCCTAAGAATTTATCATAACTTTGCTCACTGTTCCAGTTACCTAGTGCTGCTCTGACAAGAATATACCACAAATGGGATGGCCTTAACAAACAGCAGTTAATTCTCTTACAGTTCAGAGGCTTTAAGTCCAAGTTCAAAGTGCCAGGTTCTAGGGGCTGAGTGAAAGCCCCTGAGCCTTGGGCTTCAGCTCTGCCTCCAGCTTTCAGCCCACTGAAGCTAGAGGCATTTCTTACTCAGACAGCTGCTGGCTGCTGAGGCTGCCAAGCCCAAGGTTGACAAGTAAAAAAGGCATAGTCCTGATGTTACCAAACCACATGGCAAGCCATTAATTTAAGTCTATTTTAAGTCCCAAGGTCGGCAGAGCATGGCAGGCTGCTGAACAACGACACAGCTACATGCAGGGTTCAAGGTACCATAAGCTAGAGACCATTGCCAAAGCTGCTTCTTATATATGGGAAACAGACCACATACCCAAAGCAGCTACTCTTTCCCAACATGGAGTTGATTGCCAGTCTCATCATGGGGAATAACTACCACCAGCTGCCCAGCCACTCAACCAGGCCCAGCCAAGTTGACTCACAAACTTAACCACCACATGGTGTTTCACAGATTCTACATTATTCTTTAGTGTTGCATAATATTCTATTTTGTGTGTGTGTGTGTGTACCATAGTTTGGTTATCCATTCTTCTGTTGATGGCCACTTAGATTGTTTCCATGTCTTTGCTATTGTGAATAGTGCTGCAATGAACATGGGAGTGCGTATATCTATTCCTGTCCTAGTTCGCACCTCTCTAAGATATATACCTAATAACAGGATTGCTGGATCAAATGGTATTTCTATTTCCAACTTTTTAAGGAATTAAGAATGGCATGTTCTTAAAGACTGATGTTGAAACCAAAATCTTGGCACTGGGGATACCAAAATGAGTCAGACACAACTAGGGTGTCACTTTATCTGGACTTTATCTATCTATCTGTATTTCTGTACTTATCTATCTGTATGTATACTAAGGAAAATAGGAATTCATACTGATGTTTATGACCCTAGTCCAGTGCCCCCTGGGTCATTCTAGCCTTCCCTTCTTGCTTATTTTCAAGTTCTCTTTTTAACAGTGAGAAACCTGACTCCCACCATTTACCATTCAACCCCAGTATAATGAATAACATTTTCAGAATTGTTGGCCCATATCTCTGTGAGAAACAACACTATCAACTAGAATACGAAAGGCAAGTACAATAGCCTTTATCTGTAGCCTTAGAGTTTCTGGTCAAAATAACATATGCCAAAGTTACTTAGGTATTGTTGTGCAGTGAATCTCCTTCTTTTAAAATGATTTTCTGTGTGTTTGACATGGGAGAATACTGGCTATTGGCTTGTCAACTAGGTTTTTTTTTTTTTTTTTTTACCCCCAAATTGTGGTTGTGGTGAAAGTTTACAGAATTATCAATTACCCTCTGCATCATGAAGTTTTTCTCAAGTCAATGTCAGGATTAACACAGCATTTCACCAGTCACGGCAGGCAGATGAGTTTTTTAGATGGGTTTCTCAAAAAAAGTAAAATCAATTTTTTTTCACATATATTTAAAATTATTAAAGTCATACTTGCTTATTGTGGAAAAAGGAAATTTTGGTAACATAGAAAAATGTAAAGAGTAAAATAAGAATAATTTTTAAAATCATGATAGAGAGCTATTTTCTTCATATTTCTAATAAAATTGTATCATAGTATCTACATCTCTATAAGGAGCCCTGGTGGCACAAAGGTTAAGAGTTCTGCTGCTAAGGGAAAGGTCGATGGTTTGAACCTACCAGCGGGAGGAGACACCTGGCCATCTGCTCCCATAATAATTTTAGCTTAGGAAATTCTGTGGGGGCAGTTCTACTGTGTTATATAGGGTTACTATGAGTCAGAATCAACTCAATGACACCTAACAACATTATCTACATAGTTGTATCCTGATGTAAAAACAATTTAAAATGTCCAAACTGTCTATCAACTGTGATCTGAGAATTTGTAGTTTCTCTTGAGAAAGTAAATAATTTGAAAAGATGAGATATGCTTGAATACACAGAAAATGAAGCAAAAATTAGCACACCTCCACCCCAGCCCCGTTGCTGCTCACATTGGGGTGGTTGTGCTTGGAGATTTCCCCTCTGCTTTTCTCCCAGAACCATGGGACCTTCCATCTCTCCTTTCCCCAAGCAATTTGCTTTGTACCTCATGGGAACTCAGGAAACGAGTTGGTGAGGGGCAGGCATAAGCCAGCCTTGAAAACCAATTATTTATACTTAATTTCAGAGAGCTCTTTTCTGTTTGGGAGTTCTGGCAGCATAGAGCCTAAGGCACTTGACTGCTAAC